TTACACTTATTTTAATTTTTTCTGCATAGTAAATTTATCTACAATCTATGATATTTCCATATAAATAGTTACATTTTAGCACATTTGTGGCAAAGTGCAGTGGTGGGCTGGATGAACTGACCTCACAGACCGTAGTTTGGTAACCCTTGCTCAAGAACACTAAAATACTGCTTAAAATTTTTGTAATCTGTCAAGAAATCAATGAAAGAAAATAAAATGCAGCAGAGTCTTCATTTTTCAACTATGTTGTTTAAAAAATTTTTCGGAGACAAGTTAAATTATTTCTCATTAAAAAATAAAAATAAAGATTATAAATATTATTGAATAAAAGAAATGATTTATTTCCTACTCCTGTTGGCTACTGATAAAATTCTAACCTTTGGAAGAGTTAATCATCCAAATACTGTCTCATTTTTAAAATGAAATGAATATAATTTTTTCACTTTTTTTTACAATTTTGCTTTTCTTTTATTAAAAAAGTTTTAAAACTTAAAAGTAATAAAATTAGTTAGAAATATATTATGAAACTTTAAAACAATAAGCATAAATGTTTTTTAGCCTAATCTTTCATTGACTTTATATATAAACTATTATTTATATAATGATGAAAAAAGTCATTTTCAATATAAATAATGTTTACAATCATTTGAAATTAATCATTTTATTTATTCTCATGATATATTTATATCAAATTGTTTAACTATAAAGTTTTTGTAACAAAATCTCATAACAGATAGCACAACATATAATTTTAGATATTTATTTTGATTAATAATACAAATGTTATTTTTTAAATAAAATCTCATAAAAGCTGGGAAAGTTATGCAATTCATTGCTAGATTTTTTGAAGTGGTTTACTAACAATATTTATAAACTACATATTTATGATGGAGTGTTGTTATTTGTTGTTAACAAATTCCATTTACTTTTATTATTAGAGTAAGATTTTAAGAAATAATCTGATTATCTTACTCTAATAATAATAATAATAATAATAATTCTTAAAATCTGTTTTTCTGTTGCATTTATATAGTTTAGATCTTTTTATGTTGAGTATCATTTGTATGTAACAATTTTTAGATAGTACTGTAGGTCCTCAGTTAAACAGACAAACTTTGTTGTAAAAGAAAAATTTTGAATTTCCGTCAGATGAATAAATTATTTTTCACAAATTAAAAGACAAAGTCGTTCTAAAAATATATATTTCAGACGATTACCATTTTTACAGAGTGTTCTAGAACAAAGTACAGACAGCTGGACCTTCCTTTTTAGGATACACAACTGCCTATATTTAAAAAGTTCCTTAAAAACACAAAAAAACCAGTAAATATTAAGAAAAAATCTTCTTTAAAATTGGAATGGTAAATCTTACGACATCTTGTTACTTCATCCTTATCCATTGGGTTTCTGGCTCTTTATCTACTGAGGATTAGCGCTGACAAATGTAGATTATGCCGATATCCCTCTGGTGACGAATTTACTGGTTTTTTTGTGTTTTTAAGGAACTTTTTAAATATAGGCAGTTGTGTAGCCTAAAAAGGAAGGTCCAGCTGTCTGTACTTTGTTCTAGAACACACTGTAAAAATGGTAATCGTCTGAAAANAAAAAATATTTGAATATTTCTGAATATAATTTAAAATAAAATATAATAAACAATTTTAATATTCATTATTGATATTTAGTTACTAGAATTATATTTTGAATCATTAAATTATATTCTCCCAAAGGTTGTAAATCATTCTCTAGAACTGGGGTTGCCAAACTTTTTTCACAGTGGGCCAGATAACTGAGAGAATGATGAGCATAGGCCGCATAACCATTTTGTTCAATACAGTATATTGAATACACAATAATAAAGATAACCAATATATTTATCATTACACAAACACAATTGCTACAGCAAGCTTGTAATTGCTTTTGTTGGAAACTTCATTGAAGGTACATGAAAAGCGCTGTTATATTCAGTATCGCAAAAAGTCATCAAATTTTTTATTTTGCTGATTTTCCTAAATATTATATTATTGTCAGATACAAAAATCAGATTGGACCAATTTTGGCATTTTTACTTACACTTATTTTAATTTTTTCTGCATAGTAAATTTATCTACAATCTATGATATTTCCATATAAATAGTTACATTTTAGCACATTTGTGGCAAAGTGCAGTGGTGGGCTGGATGAACTGACCTCACAGACCGTAGTTTGGTAACCCTTGCTCAAGAACACTAAAATACTGCTTAAAATTTTTGTAATCTGTCAAGAAATCAATGAAAGAAAATAAAATGCAGCAGAGTCTTCATTTTTCAACTATGTTGTTTAAAAAATTTTTCGGAGACAAGTTAAATTATTTCTCATTAAAAAATAAAAATAAAGATTATAAATATTATTGAATAAAAGAAATGATTTATTTCCTACTCCTGTTGGCTACTGATAAAATTCTAACCTTTGGAAGAGTTAATCATCCAAATACTGTCTCATTTTTAAAATGAAATGAATATAATTTTTTCACTTTTTTTTACAATTTTGCTTTTCTTTTATTAAAAAAGTTTTAAAACTTAAAAGTAATAAAATTAGTTAGAAATATATTATGAAACTTTAAAACAATAAGCATAAATGTTTTTTAGCCTAATCTTTCATTGACTTTATATATAAACTATTATTTATATAATGATGAAAAAAGTCATTTTCAATATAAATAATGTTTACAATCATTTGAAATTAATCATTTTATTTATTCTCATGATATATTTATATCAAATTGTTTAACTATAAAGTTTTTGTAACAAAATCTCATAACAGATAGCACAACATATAATTTTAGATATTTATTTTGATTAATAATACAAATGTTATTTTTTAAATAAAATCTCATAAAAGCTGGGAAAGTTATGCAATTCATTGCTAGATTTTTTGAAGTGGTTTACTAACAATATTTATAAACTACATATTTATGATGGAGTGTTGTTATTTGTTGTTAACAAATTCCATTTACTTTTATTATTAGAGTAAGATTTTAAGAAATAATCTGATTATCTTACTCTAATAATAATAATAATAATAATAATTCTTAAAATCTGTTTTTCTGTTGCATTTATATAGTTTAGATCTTTTTATGTTGAGTATCATTTGTATGTAACAATTTTTAGATAGTACTGTAGGTCCTCAGTTAAACAGACAAACTTTGTTGTAAAAGAAAAATTTTGAATTTCCGTCAGATGAATAAATTATTTTTCACAAATTAAAAGACAAAGTCGTTCTAAAAATATATATTTCAGACGATTACCATTTTTACAGAGTGTTCTAGAACAAAGTACAGACAGCTGGACCTTCCTTTTTAGGATACACAACTGCCTATATTTAAAAAGTTCCTTAAAAACACAAAAAAACCAGTAAATATTAAGAAAAAATCTTCTTTAAAATTGGAATGGTAAATCTTACGACATCTTGTTACTTCATCCTTATCCATTGGGTTTCTGGCTCTTTATCTACTGAGGATTAGCGCTGACAAATGTAGATTATGCCGATATCCCTCTGGTGACGAATTTACTGGTTTTTTTGTGTTTTTAAGGAACTTTTTAAATATAGGCAGTTGTGTAGCCTAAAAAGGAAGGTCCAGCTGTCTGTACTTTGTTCTAGAACACACTGTAAAAATGGTAATCGTCTGAAATATATATTTTTAGAACGACTTTGTCTTTTAATTTGTGAAAAAAAATTTTGAACTTTTTTTAATACACAACAGAGTGCACTAAAAAATTTAATCAATAAGTCAACATTAATTAACTCGATCAGTTACATTGCATAGTGTTTTGATTGATTAAAGTTTGGTTCCTGTTTTAAATTTCTTTTTATATTTTTAATGCATGTTTTTATGGCATAAATCACTCAATGTACATTATAACATAACAATAATAATAATAATAATTTATTCATACTTATACATTACGAGACAATGTACAGGATTTATTATAATGTTAAGTTTATTAATTTCAGAGCATACTGATTCCATGACAACATCAAGGGGGAAAAAATGCAAATGCTAAACTGATTAGAGTCAAAAATTTTTATTGGATAAAACATTTTTGGGACTCTTCTGTTCTATTATTAGACTCTTTAACGTTGACAACAGAAAATTCAAATAATATCTGTAGATTCCTATTCTTACAGATGATGATCTTATTCTAATTTTCCATTTTCAATATTATAGGGTCTGATGATAGAACAGAAGAGTCCCAAATAGTCTGATGATAGATTTTGCTCAAGCAGTGATTTATATACAGGGTGTTTCATAGCCTCTTCCCAAAGTTTTTTTTTGAATAACTTTTTTGAAAATTCAAACTTTTTAATGAAATTTTCAGCAAAGATAAAGATGAAAAAGGAAATTAATGCAAGATATTTTCAAAATGTCTGCCCTCTGTCAAGATGCAGTAGCGCAGTCTTTCTTGGAAATTAGCAATCACATTACTACAGGTCTGATCTGAGATGCCCTTCATGATGCTCTTGATGCTTTCTCTCATCTGACTAAGGGTGATAGGGTTATTCTTGAACACCTGGTCCTTCATGTATCTCCAAAGAAAGAAGTCTAGTGGACTCAAATCAGGACTGTAAGGTGGCCAGGCAAGGCTTTTACGGAAAAATCAAATGTTTTGTAGCAATGTGCTTTTGTGATAGAAGCAATTCCTTTTTTGCTCAAAGTGCCACCTACAAAAAATTGAGGCTGAAAATAGTGCGGTTCAAAAGTTATTCAAAAAAACTTTGTGGAGAGGCTGTGAAGCACCCTCTATATTGTAATACTAAGTACAGTATAAGTCATGGCTTGAGCAAAATCTAACTATTACAGTTTGATTACATGAGGTTGTGTACTTTAAGTAGATGCAAACTTTAATAATAATGAATATGTTGTCATACTTTTATTCATTTCATATAAGTTCATATTTTTTTGTAATGGAATATACAAGCATTAATTTAATTGATATTAAATTAATAGTTTTTTTTTATTTTAGAGGGATTCAGAGATTCTCACCTTTCTGGCTATTATTTTAGTTTTTAAAACAAGAAAACAAGGTGAGTTATGATAAAATGTTAAAGATATTTTGTAAATTAATAATAAATTTGAATTTAAGTTATAAACAGATTAGTGTAATTTAAACTTTACATAATTGTTTTTATTTGAATCTATTTAGTGCATGTTAGCAAATTGGTGACACAGTGGTCTTTAGTGTTGCTGAATAATTAGAATTATTATTGAGAGAATTAAACAATTTAATAGAGAGTAAATATTTAATCCATTTTCAGCTCCTTACTATTGAAAATAATTCTAAATGATTGAGTTAAACAAACACAATAATTCAATTTTGCTTTGTTAAAATTTTTTTAAAAATATTTTTATTTCATTTTTAATATGTTGCAATGAAGGAGATTGTTCTGAATTACATGTGGCTGATTTTGAAATTTGAAAGTTTTAAATTAAAAACACAGAAAATTCACAAATGTTAGGAATGTTTTGTTATAGAAGTGTCTTTTAATATAAGAAAAATATTTATATGCAATGAATTATATTATCTTAGATTAATGTATCTCATATTTTGTTTTATTAATAACAATTTTTAAAGAAAATGTATTTGACAAAACTTTATTGATTTTTTTCCACAATTGCTGTTGCAGTTCTGCAAAATAGACTGACTATACTCACTTTCTATTGGATATAATAGGAATCCTAAAATTATGATCAATCAGAATAATTATTTATTCTGTAAAAATTTTATTCTGGTTAACTTGTCTCTGTTCTAAGATCATTGCCAATTTTCATAAAACAGATTGCTTCAATCTACTTGTATAACAAATTGAAGTGATTTGAAATTTTTAAACTGATTTACAAAGAAGCAAGAATCTTCTGAAACAAGAAATTACCAAAAATTTTTTACGTTTGAACTGATGGTGTCAATAATTATGCAAACTAATTATTAAACTCTAATGATCAAACTAGATGATATATCAAAACACCTTTTTTTTTCTGTCACTTATTGATGTAATGTTCCAATTAATATAAATTAATATATTACTCATTGATATTTTATTTTCATTGTATTTTCCACATTAGATAATAAAAACTTGTATTAGTAAATGCAATGAATTATGAATTCATAGCTTTCTTTTAAATCATTTTTAACAATATGTAAACAATTTTTATTTATATGGAATTTCCCCAGTTTCATGCTTAGAATTGTAAATTTAGAAATTGGGAGCTCATATTATATGATCAATATGAGCTAAATGCATAAAATGTAGGTGGAAATTTGGACCTTGTCTTACATGTCAGTATATATAGTAATATCTTTTAAAATTTGCTAAATTATTTTCATTTTCAACTTGATTATTTCTTTTTTAATAGTTAGATAGTAATATCTTTATAAATTTCTGAAGTAGTAAGCATATTGCCAAATGATCTGCTTTATTATCCACCAGGCTATTTTAAGGCAAATAAATAATTAAATACAAATCAATATGGCTAGAAGTAGGCAATTATGCTGCTATATAGTAATTTTAATAGTTAGAAATAAATTATTTGTATTTAATTGTTTACTAGTCTTAAATTAGCCTGATTGCTAATCCGGCAGATCATTCGTTGATACAAATGAATTGCTTTATTGTTTGTTATACCAGTTTGTATGTTATAAGCATTCTTTAAAAATTAGATATTGATTTGTTTTTGCAGTATTAATGTAATTTTAATATGGTTTATTTTAAGAAAGATAAGATAGTTAATTTTACATATTGCATTAGATCTTTTAATTAATTATTTGAAATTACAATTTTTATTTATCAGGTGCTACAAGTATGGTGCCATATATATCATCAGCTTGTATGTATAGTAAAATTGCAAATATTCTACTATTTTTCTATGCTGATCCTCGAATGGGTGTTATCTACATACTATTATGTTTGTGTAAGTTATGCTTTACATAAAAAGTAGTTAATTATTTATTAATATAAATAGAAATTTTTAATAGTAATTAATTTAGTTTACTTCATTATTTCATACAAAATATTAAATCCAAACTTTAAGAGTAACACATACTTTTAAAACAAAAATTATTTTGTTTTAAAAGTATGTGTTAATCCTTATGTACCCAGATTTTGTGGACTCCCTGTATTTCATCTCTTTATGATGATGATGATGATAAAACATTTAGTTTCTAAATTTATAAGGAATCTATTTAATGCATCTATAATCTAAATATATGTATTAGTTAAAAAAATTAAAGAAAATGAATGATACAAGAATGAAATAATTTTTATCATACTTGTAGAATTTTTAATTAGACCATCCTTTTGGTAGAACTCAAATTGGATCTATTTGAGATGGTTTAGTTTGTTTGGAAACAGTGTGCAAAAATTTTTTTGCCAAGATTTCAATTAAACTAGTTTGACAGATATACAGATTAGAACTTTAACTTATTATATAACAGTGAAATTAGCTTGAACTCTTCATAAACATTTCATGAATAAAATTTTTAATATTTCAAAGAAGGTAAAATTAAGATTACATTTTTTTTTGCAGAACCATAAGTAATTGTATTTGTTTTATTACATTAAATCTCTCTCTTTCACACACACACACACACACACACACACAAAATCTTATTAAGAAAAAATTGTCTAGGCATAAATATTTTTAAGGTAGTTTATCTTATTTTTCCTTGTTTATAATTTCAGTACATCTATTGTTATTGCCTGAACCAACTTATCAGGGACCTGATAACATTGTATATTTTCATGGTCCACTTTTAGAGGTAAGTTGTAATTGAACTTAGAACATTTTCAAATGTCATAAAAGTACTAATAGTTAATATCAATATATAAAGTTTAAAATTTCACTTTTGAGTTTTAATGTATTGATAAAATTTTATTCAATTATTAAAAGATTTTTCTTGTTTCTTAATTTCTTGTAACAAATATATTATATATTAAGAATTTTATAAAAGTTATATATAAATGCTTAAAATTAAAAACTTTTGTTGTTTAATAATGCTTTAGATATTACTTTATTAAATTATTTTTAAGTTATCAATCAGATTACTGACAGATGCAGTGTATTTATTTGTAGTAATAATTTCTCTATCATTAAATAAGTTAGTCAAATAATTACTTTATAATTTTTTGTAAATTGTTAGTTATTTGGTATTAATAATAATTAAAATTGTTGTATAAACTTTTTATATTTGATTTTTCTCCCTAATCTAAATATAATTCAAACTTAAAACATAATAAAAGTAATATTAAGAAAAAGGCTATAACCTAAAAATTAAGCATCAGTTATTGATTTTAGCATTTTTAACTTTACATAAATACACTATATTTTGGTGATAAATGTAATTTAATAAAATGAGAAAAAGTAATTGTTTTTCTGTTACTGATGTTATAGGAAGAATTTCAACAAGACAAACATGTGACATGGATAATAACTTTTTATGCTGCCTGGAATCCATCATGTGTTAGTTTCGCACCAATATTTGCTGAATTATCAGCCAAGTATGAAATGATATTTACATGAAAATTAGTAATTACTTTATAATTTTATTTGACCTGATAAAATATTTATACAGGTAACCCCCGTATAACACGGCACTTCTATAGCACGGATTCGCTCTAACACGGTTCGAGAATTGGTACCATCCCCCGTATAACACGGTACTTTTATAGCACGGATTCACTCTGACACGGTTCGAGAATTGGGTAAAACCCTCGTACAACAGGAAATGTAATAAATTTTTACATACTTAAGTAATAATAGTTCACGAAAATTATTATTTTCGTGAACTATTAGTACTTAAGTATGTAAATTTTCTCTTCTCGCCTTCTGTCGATACACGTGGTCCTTCTCGAAACTTGTTTCAATGTTGCCAGATCGCGACGCTTCTGCTTCTGATGTTGCCGAATGTTTTTCCCTTATTCCATACTTGCTTTATTCTTCATAAGTGCTTAGCACCATATAAGGAAATTTATAAAGACCTTTTAACTAGAAGCAAGCAATCTAAAATTACATACATTTTGCAAAAGGTAAAGCATGGATCTGAAGATAATGCAGAAAAATGCTCAGAGGATAAGGATAACTTGCCAAAAAGAAAACGCTCTCGGTTAATTAATAGTGTTTTTAGTGATGACGAAGAAAACATTGTTTAATTTATATTAATATGTATCACCTAAAAAAATTTTTAATGAAGATATTTATCTTAATTATGAAAATATACTAGCATGTTTTTTAATTTTTGGAACCTAACCCTCCTTTTCGTATTAGTTCTTTGTTTCGTATAACACGGCAATTTTTTGGAACGTAACTACTGTGTTATACGGGGGTTACCTGTAATTGGAAACATTTTATTTAGTAAAATACTTTTTTAATATTCTTGTTTTTGAATTAATTATATTTGGCATGATTATATTTTTTTAATCTTTCAGTTATCAAATTACTATACTAATACATTAATTCTAGCTCAAAGCTCTTCTAAGAAAATAGTTTTTAATTAAATAAACAAAAATAAATTATTAAGTTAAAAATTTAATATGTAGCATTTTGAAATAAAATTGGTGGTGTGATCATGTAGATGTGTAAGTTATATATTGTCTGCAACAAGAATTTTGCAACCTTTCATCAACATATTATCTAAAGACACAAAATCCTATCATAAACTTTTAATAGGTGCTTTTTCTGATTTTTTTATTTGGTATAATAAAATAGTTTTTGTTATCATTTTCTAAATATATAAATATTGTAGAGGACATTAGACAAAAATAAATAACATACAAAGTAGCTACTGTGTTATTTAAATTTTACATTTTAAAAAAATATTTTATATTTATTTCCATAAATGTAATTATATGGATGCTTAACATATTTGAGTTTAATTTTCTTAACCTTCTAAAAACATCATAATGTAGACTTTGTAGCATCTGAAAAACAGAATTTTTGAAAGATTAACTATTCTAATACCTACAACATAATATTTTATCAAATTTTAGATATGTAAATATCTCATTTTCAAAATATTTAATATTAGTTAACTCTAAGCTCTGACTTTTTTCAATGTACCGAGAGATGATGATATCTTTATCCCTCACACTACAAGGAGAATTTGTTTAGCAAAACCAGTCAAACTATTTTCCTTTTGGCTAATTTTGTATGGAATGAATTAAGCTGATTTTGGCCAATTTTGTGTTTAAAGAGTTAAGAGAAAATTTCATATTTCAGAATTTTAATATTAAAATAGAATGTGTAATTACATTTTGGAAAATGAAACTGAATACTGATATGTTCTTAAAAAAGAACAAAATCCATTTCTGAATAAAAATCAGTTTGGTTTCCTGAAATAATCCAATTCTCCTGAAATACCTCTGTGGTAGTTGGCTTATTTTTAGTCAATAAAGGTTGTGCTTTAGGTGATTTCATAAAAAGTTGTGTGCTTGGCTCCATTCCAGCAATAGGCAACAAAATAAAAATTAATTTACAACTACAACTCTATTCTATTTTCTTTGGAATCAAAAAATCTGTCTGCAGTTTTAATTCTTTCTTTGTCACAAAAAGTTTTACTTACTTCAGTTTCCAACAGTGCCCCCTCCTGTTCATTATATTATCATATTTTTGTAGAAATCATTTGAATTTGTCATGTATTATTGAACCAGTAGTTTCAATGGTAGATTTATTTTGCTCTTGTACACTTAACTATTTTCAGTTCCATAATTATTTTACAAGTAGTAAATCTTAAAAATTAATGACTAATATTTTAAAAATTAGAATTACTTAGTTAATTCTAAATGGAAATGAAATTTTATTTTTTAAAAATTTATACCTGAATAATAATATTAACAGAAAAAAATAGATAAGTAACATTTAATAATTTATGTATTTCTCTGTTGTAATACAAATTTATCTATGATGGTCTAGATATAACTTAGATTATTATTAAGCTTTATCAGTATGTCATTTACAGTAAACATTAAGGATTTATCAAAACAGTTTTTGACAAACTGGCATTTGATGTATACCTTAGGTAAATTCTATTTCCATACAATTAATTTTTATTTATAAATATTTGTCTATTAGGTATTCTTTGAGCAATTTGAAATTTGGAAAACTTGATGTTACAAGATATCCAGAAATTGCAACAAGGTAAGCATGAAAAACTTTTATTAAATCTGTCTTTACAAATTAATAGAATGGAACATTACAATAAAGTTAGAGAACAAATTTATCATAATTTATCTCAAATCAAATTTAAGACAACTTTTACTTTCAAGCCAAAATAAATTTGAAATTTTATTATTTTAAAATAAAAATGTTTAAAAATTTTTGAATTATGTATGTTTTATTTACTAGATATTTATTTTTTGAATATAATTGAAGCGGAGCATTAGTGAAGCTTCTGTGCAGTTTACAGAATTGTGTTCATTCTCAAAATTTTATGGACTAATTTTGATAAACCATTGCTATTTTCCATTAATTGCAATGACAAATCCAAAAATATGATGAAAAAAGGAGGCCCGTGACTTTGTTTTCAAGAAATTGTAGGATTAAAGTGACAATGTCCATGCTTCCTGACACAATTGAGTGTGCCTAATGGAATTTAGACATGCCTAACAGAAATGGGGACCAAAAATGAGAAAAACTCGAACAAAACGATCAATGTTGATTGCTTTGTTCTTGGATCACCTCTTTGTGTTGGCAAGTGTAAAGATCTCCTTTTCCACAGCTTGCAAGTGTAAGGATCGCCTCTTTCTCTCCAGCTTTGCCTCAATTCTTTTGTGATACAACAAAGCTGGTGTTAGTGTATTTTTATAATTAAAAACAACCACTATACAAAGTTTTGAAATATCAAAATTTTCCAAGAGAATATTTGTACCTTTTGGGATTTTTATGTACAGTGGATGATAGGTTAACGAACATAATCCATTCCAAGACTTTGTTTGTTAACCGATTATTGATTTACCATAGATTTTTATCAGAATTTGATTAATTCGTTCTGGAAACTCTAAAAAATAAATAATTATATACTTTCTTACTATGTTTATTTACATGTAATAAGAACTAAAAGCATCTCCATTTTTTCCTAGATGGCACATTTTTATTTCTCAGATGTGATTTTCATTACTCCTTTAGCTGCTTGAGTCTTCTTGATTATATCTTTCTTAGCTAAGATTGTGCCTACTGTAGACTTGTTCGAGCCATACTGCCTAGCACTATCAGACATCTGTCCACTCACTACCTTGGCTGTTATCTCTTGCTTGTTTCTAAGGTGAGCATGGTTCTTGACACTCCAATCTTTTTAGGCTTCATAATAATATCAATGTATTTTTGAAATAAAAAGTTCAGAAAAGCACTCACAAAAATTCAGTGAACAGAAATCGACTAGTGCATGAAAGAATTATGTAAATGTGAGGCCTGAATGAAATTCGAAATTTTGGTGTTAAACCGTTATTGAATATCCAATACAACAGTTAAACTCTCACCTTTAGAAAATAAAAACTGATGCAAAACTTAACGAGTGCCCAACAGTGCAAAGACTATAAAAAATTATTTGTCAGAAAGGTAAACAAAAAGCTGGAATTACAATGGAGAATTTCAAAGTTTGGAGGAATAATATCTGATTGTTATCAGGTTGAGTGTCTTTCGCACTCCAAAAGGTTTTGAATTTTACCTGGAGACAAAGGAAAACCAATCAGTATTCATTATTTTATGTTGCTTCTTTTTATATTTGTTCTGTGAAGTGTTCATTGTCCAAACATAAAAATCTTTCATGAAAGTGTTTGTTATCTGATTTGTTTGCTGTCTGAACTGTTCATTAACCGATCACCCACTGTAAATTTATGGAATCAAAATTTGTATATCTTATTTATTTAATATTATTTTATAAATAGCAAAATAAAAATTTTCTTTAAAAAATCCTCACGATATTACTGGTGTAGAATTCAATAAATAAATAAGCAATTACCTATAACCAGCATTAATTCTCTTATAAACGAATGTTTTCTTCCATGTATATTCTATCCCTATTTATGATCCGTCCTGGCAAATATATTGGTGCTACCACACTTCTCAAAACAAAGATGAAGGAACATAAATACTTTATTCAAAAAGGTCTTTCCACTACAGCATTGGATTCTTATGTCATTGACAACGATGTCAGGGTAGACTTTGATAATGCATGATTACTACAACGGTGTGAGGACCAGGCCAGCCTAAAATATCTTGAACAGCTGGAGATATTTAAAGCGTTCAAGAGAGGAACAGCCATCAATTTTAAAGAAATGGACTTGCTGGTGGCTGCGTGGAGGGCATATTTTGATGTAAAATAGATTGTCATCAAGTTTACCTTTATAATTTATGTAAACATCAAATTTTTAAAATACAAAGCCATTTGAAAACTCCATTTTTTTAAAGAGCTACATTGAGCATGCACATATCTTCAAAACAGGCAACTTTTGAATTTTTGGAAGCTGCATTCTTTTCTTTAAAAATCCTGAAAGACTCAAATTCCAAGATTAAATATAATGTTTCTAGAAGATTGCTTTTTTCTTCCAACAATGTGAGTTGTCTGTATACTTTGATGACTTCAAAGTATATGTAAATAAACTTGTGTGATTGATTTCAATACTTACCTTTTTTTTGACATAAAAATGGAAAAACTATTATAGTAAGTTGCATAATGATTTGTCATTCTTTATTCTTCTGTATATAGCCAAACCCCATTATTATGTTATTGGTTTATGGAAATTCCACATTAATATGAAGTAAATTTTTGGTTCCATAGGCATTTCAATGATAATGATGATCACTATTTTGGTTAATATGTAATATGAAGCATATAGTCCATGAATTCAATGACAAAGTACACTGCTTTTAGCTTTTCCAAAGTCTCGCATACATCACCACCAGAGGTGTGTTTTTCGACTTTAACATAGCCACAATACTTATGATGTTAATGTTATTTTTATTGTCAATGCAGTATATGCCAACCTGAAAAATAACACACTTATAAGTTAGTTGGCACTTGGTGACAATGCTGAACAATTAGTTAAGACAGTTACATGCACATTGGAAACTGGAAATTAATAAATAGGATTGTGAGATTTCAATTAAAAATTTGTAGTTTTACAAAATAGTTCTTATTTTTAATTGCTTTAATAATGGAACAAACAAGACAAGTGAATTAGAATATTAAATACAGTAATTAGTTTGTAACTTTAAAATTAAAAATGAGCCATTTTCATTCAAATCCAAGCAAATAAATTATCTTTAAATTTGTGTTTGGACCAACACAATTTTATTTATTTTTAAACATCCAAACAAAATAAAACAAACTGAAAAATAACTGTGAGAAAATTTGTCCTTGGTCATTTGATGGTATGACGATTAATTTTTTTGTAAAATTTGATTAATACAAACTTTGTTAATATAAAGTACAAATATTTAAGTTCCTTCAATTTTGTATTTATAGAGTTTGACTATACTTTGTTATAAGTATTACCATTGTTAACTGTTGAATTTAAAATTTTTATTGAATGAATCAAAGATTTTATTCCACTGTTTAGAATATTTTATACATTTTTAAAATTAGTTTTATAAAAATGTAAATTTTATTATTTTAGATACTGTATTAGTACTTCAGCATTCAGTAAACAACTGCCTACTGTTATTATTTTTAAAAATGGAAAAGAAGTTTGCAGGAGGCCAACTTATGATCACAATGGAAAGTTAATTAAGTTTTTCTTTTCAGAAGTATGTATAATTTGATACTAAATTACATTTTGTAATATATTTTTTAATGAAAAAATATTATATCATTATTAATTTTGTAAGAAAAACTTAATGCAATATATGTACCTTTTCAGGAAAATATATTATCTGGCTTGGATTTAAATAATTTATATCAAGAACATAAAAACAATCCTCCCAAAAAGAAGAAAAATGAAAAACAGAGTATTGAAGAAAATCATCTTAAGTCTGAATAATTTTTTACTACACAAAAAGCAATACATTTCAGAAATATTCATGACAAATCATTTGAATATATTTTTCAATAAATTTAAAGTTGGAAAATATCATTCTTAAAAATATTGAATTAATGTTCTTTTCTCCTGGATATAGTTTTTCTGAATTATACTTTGTTTTGAAGTAAATTAAAAATGTTACATAAAAATTCATTTGAATCCAATAAATCTAAGTAAAATCTATAAAGATTATAAATTTAACTGTTTCATTTTTGAAATGTATTGTTTTTAAAAAGTTTTGCATTCAGGATAATAGTTGTTTTATTTGTTTTTTTCTTATTGTCTAAAAATTTAGATGTATATTATCAAAGCAGAGCAATCTTCTTTTTATTTCATCTGCTTTATAATGAATAAAATACCAAATTAAAAATATACTTTACTTCAGAAATATTATGTAGTATTGTACATAGTGTTTGTGGTTTGTTGTGAAAAATTATTTTGAATCTTCTGCTTTATTAACAATCAAATATATTTTTCAATATTAATTTTTCTAATTTCATGGTATGTGTAATCAGGAAATTTTTCTTTAAAAATGTTTAAATTGTTATGACATTCCTTATCAGAAAATGTGAAATCAGTGTGTGAATCTCAAATTCTTTCATAGTGATTGATTCCAAATCTTTAGTGCCAATAATTTAAAGTTGAATCCTACATGATTTGTAATTGTTTATCCATCAGAACTTTGCAAATATCTTAGAATTTAACTGTGTGTAATTGCATAAAGTATAATTTTTATTAGGCATGTAATTTATTTAAAATAAAAACATTTACATGTATAAATTACTGTAAATTTTAGATGTTAGTACCTTAAATGGTCAATAATGCTTCTAATAGGATGTCATTATTTGAATGTCAGCATTTATATTTATTGGAAGAATGGAGAAAGTATAATTACATTTTTGGTGTTAAAAGTTATATAATTATTATTATTGTTATATGCATTTACTATTTCAAAACTTCTACATTTTATACTAAATATAAATCTTTTGTTTATTAAAATGTCAAATGTCATTTTCCTAGAATTTTTCTGTACATTTTTAAATTTTCATTTGCATATTCTCTCTCGTTTTTTTTGATCTGTTGTTAGAGTAAAAATTATTATTTAAATAAATGTCTTATGTTTTTGTTTTCTTTCAGCGATATGAGTTAATTCAAAGATATATTTCACATTTTTCAAAAGAATTATAATTTACTTTAATAACAAATTTTGTTACACTTGTTTTATTTATGAATAATTAAAAATAGATTCTAAAATGATGTTTTAGAACACGGGTTCCCAACCTATGGGTCGCGACCCAGAAGGGGGTCGCGACGGGCTTTCTGTGGGGTCGCCAACTTATACAGTAAACTAAAAAAAATATTCACTATAATGCAATTTTTATTTTTAATAGTGTCTTGAAGTTTTTATTTTAATTTAAAAAAATATATTTCATATAATTTTTTAAAATTAAAATAAGTGTAATCTAGGTACGCTATTCTGCCACAGTTGGTTGAAACGTGTTGAGAGTTTGAGAGGAATAAATTAAATGTTGAGAATGACATGAGGTTGGCGTTAACAAAAACTCACCCGCGAATTTTGAGGCTGGTTAATAACATGCAATTTCAACCATCGCATTAAATTAATTATTAAACATAATTTAAAATAAAATTATACTAAAAAAACTAATTTAGTTGTTTTTTTTTAATTAAAAGCCTTTTTCAATTGTATCGTGGTTGCGGGACACTTGGCTTTTATAAAAAGGGGTCGCCACCCAAAAATGGTTGGGAACCGTTGTTTTAGAATATATAACTTTAAACCATTTTTATATCTTCTCTTTTCTAAATTATTTTTACTCTTCTACCTCATAGACCAGGGGTGGCAAGCTTGTGGCATGTTGGAAGAAATCATTTTGGCATGTAACAAATCATACAATTTCAGTTTACCACCTATCTTCAATCATATTTTTGGTTTGACAACTGGTCTTTTTTTTTTCAATTAGTTTCTTCACATTTATTCTAATTAAAGCATATTCAGTTCATTTCTTTGAATATTATTATTCAAAGTCTAAAAATATTTACATGTGCCAAAGTTTTAAAGATAAGTATTCTTACTATATAGCATGAGGACTCTGCCATAGACACTGAAAAGATCTTGTTTTCAAACCCATTATTGGTTTGCCCAGGCTTTTTTTTTTTTAACTCTTTCTGCCCTTTGGGCACTAAGAAGGCCTCATTTAGCAAACCCATTATGGGTTCAGCTAGGCCCACAATGGGCCGAGTGGTGAGGGACAGGAACAGACATCCAGTCAGATCAAGAATTTGAAGGGAACAAATTGCAATATCCCAAACTTCTCGTCTCTTACACTACACACTACCAATTCTAAATTGCATTGCAGTTTCTCTGTCATACAGTATATAGTTTCTTATGAATGCATTTAATCTTTGTAACTTTTGTTAGACACAATTTTTGGGCAGCTACTTACTATGGGACCTACCAGTGGCCAAGTGGTTCTGTTCCCTGAATACTGGGAGTTCGGTTGTAGGTTCACACCACCAGGACGGGCTGGCCACATGGAGTTTTTCACATTTTCTCCCATGTCTAACATCTGAATAGGGACCAGTTACCCTTAAAAAGACTTCCCAGAAGGCATTCCCCTAGGCCAGGGGTCGGCAACCTTTTGAGTCGGAAGAGCCAAAATTACAATTTACAAAATTTCAAAGTTTTTAAAGAGCCACAAAATTTTTTCTTGCCAACAATAAATAGTACTCGCATAAATAAAGTTTTTTGATAAAAACTAATCTATTTATTCATAAGAAAAAATATCTATTTATTCATATATAAGTAGTGTTTTTCACAACAAATTAGATAATAGAAACATCCGAGACGGCGTCATTCGAGAGCTTCCGACGGACTGACGACGTGTGTCACGGGGGAGGGGTGCGGTGAAAAGCGAGTACAAGTGGCTGAGAGATAGAATCGGTGCCTAATCCTCGTTAATCGATTCAGAACGATTTTTAAATGTTTTTTTTTTTTTTATAAAATAAATATTTGCGTATGGAACTAAAGAGTCGCAGCTTCACATCCAAAGAGCCGCATGTGGCTCGCGAGCCGCAGGTTGCCGACCCCTGCCCTAGGCAGATTACCCAACTGTTGCATTGCCATAACTTAATAAAAACAAAACTTACTACGGGACTGATCTGTGATGTCTGTTTTCCATCTTTGTTTAGTCCATTGTCTGAACACCTTATATTGAATAATCATGCAAATTTTTTATATGAATATTTTAGTCAATCATGAACTGTGGAAATTAAAGAATTCAGTCACCACATATTGACGAAACATGGCATTGCCTATCATTTTCTCATATCCTGGATATGCTGGGATCTATCCCTTATTAGCCAAAACCACGATGGTTATAGGAAGAAACAGCGAAAAATAAAAACAAGTTTTACTATCAATGGTTTAATCTTTATACAATGTTGGTCATTATTTTCAATACATCTGTATTTTAACATAGGCTCAACCTCTATCGAATCGGAAATGAAATGACTTGACCTATTAGCAAAATAAGCTATTTCCAGCTATGATACATACTTCCTGTGTATTCATTTCTAGTTCCAATATTTGACGTTCGAGCGCTGAACGTAAACTAGAACGATCGCTGATTGGATGACGAAAATTTTTGTTAAAATAGCAAGTGACCATCTGGGTATGTTTAAATTAACCTATGGATTAAGGCCGATTAGCATTCGGTATGTTGACGTCATAACTTCCGACCGCTCATTTACATATAGATTCGTGATTAATTTTCTCGTTTTCCATACTGCAAGTAAACCTTAAACATTATAAACTGTTCAAAATTCATCTATTGACGAATAAACTGATTTCATCGTACTTTTGGCGTTTCTGTTTTATTCAGGATGTTCAGTGGTAACGGTTGCAGTAGGAAGACAGACTGCGAACTGTAAGAGTTTTTGAATTTTATTTTTATATTCGGGAATGCGAAGTAATCGCCCTAAACTTAAACATTTCCATGATAAATGGTAATGAATGAAACGAAATCGGATTCCTTCACATCTAAATTTTCTGCATTTAAATTATTTGTAGCATAAATAGGGTCTTATATAATACTAATCGTATGTACAGTACAGTACATTATATATTATATACTGTATATATACAGGAAATCCTCGTTAGTTCGAAATTCAGGGGACAAAATAGTCGCGATTTCGAATTATCCGAGATTCACATATTTCTGTACAATATGCCAAATGTCACGTACTGTACCTGATGTAATTTATTAAGCAAACAATATGGCTACGTATACAAAACGCTATTTTCGTTAATTAGTAATAATAATTATAATTAAACAAAACGTGCCCTGTGAGAACCGCACAGTTTTCCAAATAAGTTTTAAAAAAACCAGCGGCGTGCCGTCCATGGAAGCTGTGGAAGCACCGCTTCCTTGTATTTTCTAAAATACAGGCATACCTCGACTTACGTCGTTTCGAGTTATGTCGTTCCCGATTATACGTCGTTTGTCAAAAAAGTATATAGAAAAATAAAAATCAAGTTTAAGTCATTTTATTCGACTTTACGTCTGTCCGCCACAAATATTGAAGTCGTAATATCACTAGAAAAACGTTTAAAGCACATAAAATCATATTAAAATATATACGAGTATGTTCTGTATTTACAGTACATGCATTCGTAAATTTAGAATACTTTTTTCTGTACTATATTAAAAACTAAAATTTATTTGTTTGTAAGCTTAAAATAGATATTTATTAACCATATATTATTAAAAATGCATTAATAAATAAAATACAGAACCGGGAATGGTAATTTATGGTTTAGCCTAGTGACAAGTAGATTTGGAGACAAGTAAATTCGACTTACGTCGTTCTCCTGGAACCAATTACCGACGTAAGGCGAGGTATACCTGTATATATACATATTGTGCGATTATTTTCATATTTTAACGTACTTTGAATTAATTAAAATTAGCATTTTATTATAATCGCATTATGTATCTTATTACAAATTTCTGTGTTATACGTGAAAAACAATAAGATTGCTACTGTATATTCGAATATAAATTCGTATATGCACATTCCCAATGGAAGCGCACTATGTTGGAATACGGGACAGCTTCCATGGTGAAAATCTCTGAATCTTGTAAAGCAGCCAGATTATAAGCATTCGCGCATGTAAAGTGGCCCAAAAAAGTAAGTCGTATTCTAGACCCTTAACAAATATCTCAAACTGCTACTTTTAACCCAATCTTGAAATCTCGAAACCCAGCCGTATTTGATAAAATATGATAAATACAGCAACGAGTTGCTTAACTTTTCCGGCAACATTTGGTGGCGCCATGATATTTACTTTAAAAACTTTGCTATTTTATTGTAGTTAAAAATATAAAAAAGCTTAATTTTGAGAATAGGGATGAGCTTTATAAAAAAAAAAAAATGTAAACGCTAATAACGAGTAAAATCGTCATTAAGTCCCTTTATCTCCCCACCCCTCGACCTTTAAGTAAATATTAAAATCTACGATATGTAAATCTAATTTGATTTAATCTATAATAATCTGCATATTCTGTTACTAATTTAATATTCTTACAAGCAAATATTATTGTTATTTAAATATAGTTTTGTATAGTTGTAGAAGATGGAGACGTCAATCTATTGCTCTGGGGGACTCCGGAAAGCCACCCCAAAAATTTTTCAGGAATGTCAGTCTCGGATATGTGAAGTCCCTCCCTTATCATCCAACCGCTCCTGCGGCCTGGCCGACCCCATGATGGATATAAAAAAAGGGTCTCCTTAGTCAGGGCGGATCTAGAGTTTTCGTGGCCTGGGGCTTATTGAAGTCCAATGGGGCCCTATTTTTTGTTAATACAAATAATACTATAAATTATCATTATTATTATATTATTAATATTAACTATTTTTTACTATACGATAAGTGCTCATTGTTAATGTAAAAGTAGGCTATTAAAAATTTATAATAATTCAATTTTTGTGGACCCTTGACACTTTGGATCCTAGGGCTTAAGCCCTATTAGTCCCTACTTAGATCCGGCCCTGCTCTTAGTGC